TATATATATATATATATATATATATATATTATACCTTGTAAAGTTTAATGGAGATTCAACGTGTTGAAGTAGGTGTCGTACTTAGAACAATGCCTGGACCTGAAAGAACCGTATGTACACCCCAATGTACACATGTTAATCAGCGTTGTATTCATCTATCCATCAGCACTAATAACAGTATCACTTGTTGAGCACTTATTATGTACGAGGCAATGTTTCCGGTGCTTTCTAAATACTCTCCCTAACCCATACAATTTTATCAAGATATTATCTGTACTATCATCTCATACACATATCTGCCCTTGCTCTTACATTATACTTCACCAATTTTCACAACGTAGAACAGGGCTTGGCAAGCTACAGCCCTTGGTCCAAATCCAGCCCACTGCCTGTTATTGGAGCCTGCAAGCTAACAATTGCTTCTACATCTTTATTTATTATATGGTGCTGGGAATGGAACCCAGAGCCTGGCACACGCTAGGCAACTGAGCTACACTCATGGCCCTGTTTTGTTTTGTTTTTGTTGTTGTTTTTTTAACATTTTTTAAAGGGCTGAAATAAAATTTTTGAACACATGAAAGTTATATGAAATTCAAATGTCAGTGTCCACAAAGATTTATTGTAACACAAGCAAAGTCACTTATTTACCTTTATAGCCTAGCTGCTCTTGTGCTATAACAATAAAGTTGATTACTGGTGATAGAAGCCTCTTGACTTGTAAAGCCATAACAATTAACTATTGGACTCTATAGAAACAGCTTGCAAACTCCTGATCTAGAACACAAAAGAAATCGGTAGAAGTAATTGTGTCAAGAATTTTCTATCACTTATATGAATGTTCACCACTCTTACCTTCCAAGGCATCTTTTTCTCTTTCTTGATCTGCATTCAGTTTTATAGTAACTTTAGTTTGTGCTCCCCCTAGTCCCCACTGACTCATGTCAGGCAATTGTTAGCCAAGATTGCTTTTAAATTACAACCACCCTGGCGGGTAGTTCTACCTCGGCCTCACATTCGAATCACCTGGAGAGCTTTTAAAACACACTGGCCCCTGGGCTCTACTCCCTGAGCTTTGACATCATTGGTGTGAGGTACAGCCTGGGCACTGGGATATTGCAGAGCTCCCAAGTGATTGTCATGGTCAGTAGGGACTGAGAACCACTGGCCCAGACAAAGAACGGTTAGTTTTTAGCCCATATTTCTAAAAGATCCATGATGAGAACAGATCTTGTTAAAAACGCCAACTCCTCACTCCATCATAGACTCACTAAATCAACCTCCAGGCAGGAACCTGAGAGGCTGTGTTTAGTGAATGTCACAGGTGCATTAATGCTTAGGGAAGCTCAGGACCCACTGCTTGGCCTAAATCCTTTAAAGCATGTGGGATGATAACTCTTTGAAGGGTGGGACCTGAACATCCAGCTCTTCTTACATGGCTGATGGGGTTAGCCTCAGCAAACCCATCACATTGGATCCCCCAGTTGTTTCCAGTTGTGTTTATACAATTGCCAGGAATCTATGTCCACATGTTGACAAAGCCCAGTCCTCAAGGAAGTGGACAGAGAGAGGTGTATCAGTGTTTTAATTCCCCAGGGATGCTTAACAATAAAATTCAGCTTTAGATTAAAGGTCTCTTTGGCTTTGGGTTGGGTTCTCTGTAAAAGTATTTGTCACTATGATTTCAAAATCTTCCCTTCCTACTCTCCCAAGGTGCTGGAAGGGAGGACACATCTCACTTCCCCACAACCCTACTTGATCGCAATTTCCCGAGAGCAGCTTGGGTCCTCTTCTAGTCCAAGATGAAGGGAGGCAGGGACCCATCTGGCTCCCAGACCCTATCTGAGTTGAGAGCCCATTTGAAGTATCCAGCTAGAGAGGATTCAAATCCAAGGAGTGCAGTGGCCACAGATCAGGGGACATGATAGGCACCCAGGGCTATCATGAAGGGCTCTTTCCTGGAGAGTAGGCAGGTTAGATTTTTAGACAAGATGAAGAACATGAGCTGGGATTTTAATCCAACTCTCGGTGACTTTGCTGCCCACCTTCCTTATACCAGACACACTAACGCTATTTTTCAGAGGACATACGGGACTAGTGAAGTCATTTAAGTATTAAGCTGCAGAAGTTCTGGTAGAAGTGGGTACATTGCGTAAGTGGACCTACAAGTGTCAAGAGAAGATAAAAATGCCTTAGAATGTTTTATACGAAATTGGGTAAAATGATGAAACCAGGACAGTTAACAAAATTCATTTCACTGAGAATCAATAAAACTTGATTCAATAAAGAGAAGGAAGCAACCAGGAAGAGAGAGTGATTTCAAGTCAGAAGGCACCAAGAGTGTATTATAGAATTTTAACCACTGAATTCCTTTCTTTGCATTGTGTAAAATACATACTCACAGAAACTGTAGAGTGAGTGCCAATGTGTTATGATGGTAAATCAAAATCATGCAAACCAAGTCAGACTGTGAACTTTTTTTTTTTTTTTTCAGTGCTGGGGATTGAGCCCAGGGCCTCTCATATGCTAGACAAGCACTCTATCACTAAGTCATACCTCATCCCTTGAACTAATACAGCATCCTACATGATTTAAAAAAAAAAAAAAACTCTTTCCTGAGAAATTTTTATAATTTGTTAATGTTCCTGAAGGTGTCAAGGTGTAGGGACCTAGGCACAAATAAAGATGACAGTCCCAGGGTGGGAGAGGAAAAGCAAATCACTTGGATGGAAAGAAAACTCAGAGGACACTTGGCATCTGTGTATGACTGTCTGTGGTGATGACATTGCTTTTATTCATGATATTGTTTAACTCTGACGAATTTTCTCCTTTAAGGTATGGAAGGGAGGGGTAGGGTGGGGTGGGGGCTGGCATGTATCTCAATGGTAGATCACTTGCCTAGTATGCTCAAGGGCCTGGGTTCAATTCCCAGCAACACACACACACACACACACACACACACAAAGAGGTGAGGAAATTATATGCCAGTTTTGTCTGCAAATATATTAGGATATCAGAAACCCTTGATTCATATTAAGAATCTGTTTATTCACTTACCAAAATGAGAGAGAGAGAGAGAGAGAGAGAAGGAAGGAAGGAAGAGGCCCTTTCAGTAGATAAGGCAGCATCTCTCCAGTTCCCCAGTATATCTCCCAACCAGGCTGCAGCTTCCTCTACCTTCCAAGCTCCCACCATGTCCCAGAACTCTGGAGGCCGCAATCCTCTTGCCCACACAGTGTGGTATTCTTTGCTATACGGTGGCCTTGGAAGAGTGCAGGTGATGTGAATTAACTAGCTTTGAGTTTCTACTCACAGCCCCTGAGGCCAGTAGTGCCTTGTCTGAATAAGATTTTGCTTCTGTGCCATTTCCCTTAGGGTGAATTTTCTCTTGCAAGGCCCCCACCAGCTCTCTGTCACTCCATGCACCTTGACATTGCTGAATCCTCTAGTGACAGGCACCAACTTGAACCCTGAGGAGTTTTTCCTGATATCCATCAATTGAGCCAGTCACATCAGAATTCCCCCTCAAAGTGTGAGAGCCTCAGGATGAAATCTCTCTCTAGTCGCTGTGGGCTGCACAGACCCATGCCTTTCTGTGAGTTGTCTTCTCTCACTTTGTTTCAAAGAAGTAGATACCAAAAGTGAATATTCCAGCTGGGCACAGTGGCACATGCCTTCAGTTCCACCTTGGAGCCTAAAGCAGGAGGATCACTTGAACCCAGGAGTTCAAGACTAACCTAAGCAACATAGCAAGACCCTGTCTCAAAAACAAACAAACAAACCAAAATATTCCAACTGGGCTAGGGCAGGAAGGTAGTACAATGAAAAACAGGAAAAACCTTCCCAGTTCACTGACAAGCCAAACACTTTAAAGTATGAGAAAAAAGGAAAACACTCACTTAGAAGAAAATTGAAATGGAGTCTTAAGGTAAAGTCCGGGCTAGTTTCATGTTGGTTTGACCAATTTTCAGGAATTACGTGTGTCTTCTTTTCCTTCTCATGGGCATTATTTAATTGTCTAGTGTTAGGCAAAAATCCACTGTGCAGCAATAGTCCAGGAATCTCAAATCTGAGCCTGAGCAAGAGCCATCCTCACAAAGTTTCCCTGTTTTGCTAGGAAGACATAAGAAATCAGGTCATTGCAAAACAAAATGATACGTGGTGACATATACATACCAATACTGTGTGCCCAGAGACATACAGAGGGTCAGAAGGAAGACTACATATTAAGTTATTTCAAACACTACAGGCTTTTTTTAAAAAGTTCTTTTGCTAGTTTAAAGCCTATAATTTCATTTTGTCATGAATTCTCTGTCCTGTTTGCTGACCTTGTTCTGTCCTGCCTTGCAGTGGCCTTGCCTGAGTCCAGGGCTCCTGGGCCTCAGCAGCCAGAGCACTGTATTGTATTTCCTTACAGCTGGCATATATCGGATACCTGATGCTCTTCAACTATATCGTGTTAGTGAAGATGGAGCGCTGGCCTTCAACCCAGGAATGGATCGTCATTTCCTATATTTTTACCCTGGGAATAGAAAAGATGAGAGAGGTAACTGCTTTCATAAAAGAAAACATAAGAGCAGGAGAGTGTTTATATTTGTGGATGGAGGGGAGAAGGGGATGCTTGGGATCCAAATTAAGCCAGAATCTATCTTTTCTAATGCCTTGAAGGCTGTTTCCTGCCACCTTTGACGAATCTGGGGAGGCTTCCCTGGCTGATGTTCACAGGGTTGTCACTCCATGACCGCTTTGGATATGGTCTATTTTCTGCTCACAAACCTTTTGTCCCAAGGAATCCTCCAGTTGTCTTCCACATCATTTACACCTCTCTTTACTTATCCCTATAAACATAACTTTTCATATTTGGCTATTTTTAATTCCCATTTCAATCTCTTACTTTGGGTCTCTTTGGACACAGTCCACCAATACCAATGTCATTTCTGCAAACGTCCTTCAGCAGCTCTAGCAGGGGGTCTGCTCTCGTTCATTTATTTAATTTATTCTCTAGTTGACTCCTTGTCAACATTTGTCATGAGCCTGCTGGGCACTAGCCTTTCCACCAGCCCTAGGGATCAATCACTAAGGCCAACTGAACACGGTTTTGGTCCTTCAGGTTGAGGCTATGGGGTTCCTCTTTTATCCCCTCATCCTTATGACCTAAAAGAGCTATTGAAATGCCACCCTTATATGATTTGTTTGGACTCAAGACAACCTCCCAGACAATGGATGCTACAAAAAAAAAAAAAAAATGAGATGAGAAAACACGGAGGAAACTCAGATGCATGTTACTAAGTGGGGAAAAAAAAAGGCTACCTGCTTCCAAATACATGATATTCTGGAAAAGACAAAACAGTGGAGCCAGTAAAAACATCAGTGGTTTCCAGGGGTTGCAAGGAGGGGGATAAATAAGTGAAGCACACAGGCTGTTAAGAACAGTGAAAATACTCTATATGATACTGTTGTGGTGGATGTATGTCAGTACACATTGGTCCAAACCCATAGAATGTACAACACCAAGAGCAAGCCCTAGTGGAAAGGCTAGCCCCTGAGCGATGTGATGTGTTGCTCTCCGTTCATCTGTGATAGCTCATGCTCTACTCTGGCGGCGGGTGTTGATAGTAGAGGAAGCTATGTGTGTGGGGGGGGGCAGGAAGTCCATGAGAAATCTCTGTACCATGCTGCAGATTTTGCTGCTCTAAAAAATATATACTTCATTAATTAATAAATAAATAAAGCTCTAGATTCCAAATGCTTCTTCCAGAATGAATGTGGTCAAGCAAAAGTCCACAAGAGGGCTCTGCAGCCCTGTTCAACAAACTCCTGTTTCACCAGAGGAAGCCACAGAAAAGGCAGGCTTGTGAGGGGATATAGGCTCATCTGCACTTTCCTTGGAACTGCAGGGCCCGGAGGGGTGTGTTCTGGAGGCAATGCTCTTGTCACATCCACCACACCTCCAAGAGCTCAGGAACAATCCTGGTTGCTGTACTTCAGGGGATGGATAGACCTCATCGAAAAAAGGATTCCTACAATCCACATATCCACCCTGATTTTTCTCACCAAAAGAGGTTCAGAAGGATTTGCCTTCTTGAATTCCAGCTCAAGAATGTTCTCCTCCAGAGAAAACATGCGGTGTCTATTAGATGCATTTGTATTGGAATCATAAAAAAAATTTTTCTTGGTATTCAGAGGCTTTCTCTTGGGTTTTTAAACTGGGAGATATTTTAATTCTAACTAAAATGTCTCCATCTCAAGAACTTAGGACAAGGTATATTAGCCCCATTAAATATGACTGGATTAAGTTAAAAACAAACAAAAGCAATGGAGTACCCTGTCTTGTTCTAGCTGGTTGTCTACACTGAGGTCCCCCAGTTCACAGAGCCTTCTGCTTCTGGACGGAGGTTGTGGATTTGCCTTTTCAACTAAGAGCAGCATAAGTTTGCTCTGGTTTCTGTGTGGCTCTGAGAACTGGGCTGCCACTTCGGGGGACCCAGTGGCTGTGCAGTGCCAGCTGGCGTTCTTGCAATTTAACGCATATTCCTTCCCCACAACAAGCAGAAGAGGGAGAGACTGGAGCCTGGAGATTGGAGTCTCTCCAGGGACTAGGCTGGAAGAAGACAGGGAGCAGTCTGTACTCCATGGACTGTTCTGGTGGAGACTGCCAAGCCGGCCAGCTGCCAGGACCTTCCGGGCCTAGCTCTCCATTTCTCCCCAGGCAGCATGTCATGGCAGGAGGGCAGGGCTTCCCAGCTGGGTCAGGAGGGGGTCAGAGGAAGAGTCTTGGCTCCTGAGGAAGCTGTGGGGAGCCAGGCAGTGACTGTCTTAGTGTCTGACCTTTCTCTCTGTGGCCTGGTGAGGTTACCCCTCACCCTGTGTCCCTGCCCTGAACTCCATCAAGAGATTCTCCACTACCAAGGGGAAGAAGACCCCCCCGCTAGACACCCGCCTGAGGAGCTCAGACGCAAGATCCTGGAAACATGGAAAAGTTTGCACTTCCGTGCCTCCCAAGGGATAAACAAGGACAGCTCTGTGGTTTCACATGCTGCCCTCCCGTTCCCAGCACCACATACTTCTGCCAGTAGTCACCAGGCAAGCCATGGTAATCCCTTAACAGAGTGGCACTGTTTACAGCATGGCTTTGTAGACGTTATCTCATTCCGGTCCTCCTCCCCCCAACTCTGTGAGGTCAATGGCACAGTTATGATGACATCCCCACTTTACACGTCTGGGAACCAAGGCTCAGGGTCGTAAGCAATTTTTTTTTTTTTAATCCACAGCTGGAAAAAGGGGTAGGGCTGAAAACTGTCACACCATCTCAAGACTCTTTCCTCTGCAGGGTCCCAGGATGCTAAGGAAGATCCTTGGGGTTGGGGGGAGATTCCTGAATCTTGACCCTTGATCTTTTACTTCTGCTTCACCCCAAGCTATTTTGCTTTTATCTCTTTTCTTAATGTTGTGGGACACCACAAAAAAAATGTTTTCACTATTTAAAAATTTTACTATATAACTCT